TTCCTTCTTGATATCTAGAAAGTCCCGACTACTGTACTAGCAACATACTTGTACACGAAAGTGAATCATATTTTGCGTGGGGTTGCTAGCTAGCTACTTAAGTGCTCTACTACTTTGAAATATTTTGCTGAAAAGCAATCCCATTAAAGCTAATTCAAAAACCGAAACCGAAAATATTTCAATTTCGGCCCAAAGGCACAATATCACTAAAAATCGTATAAAATATGCTGAGCGACATTGACATTCATGGCATTTAAAACAGAATTTAAAATTTTAATTAACACAAGATAAGTTTATTATTCCCCAAACTCCAAAAAATTTAAATCGTAATTTAAACAAAGTTAGATTCCGTAGCATTAAGAAGTTAGATAAGAGCAACCGAGAGCAATTACTTTAAGAGAAAGTTAGATAAGCTCATGGGTCTCCGGTTGGAACTACTCAATTTTTTTCCTCTTATTCGTATCTATTGGCAAGTTTGAAGAGTTCGTCAATAAAAACTTTCGATTAACTTAAACACAATTAGAATGCTTACCGTGTAAAAGTTCAAGAGTGTATCGCTATAGCGACTCGTTAAACAGAAAGGATGTTCACCTGAAAGTTGAAACCCTCCAAAACAAAATTACCTAGTTGCCCGGAGGCGACTTAATTCCGGTAAATAATTTTCTGAAGCTCGACAACGGGAAGGTCGTCCACACCAGTTATACAGGGTGATTTACGAGGAATAATTTCGCGATGCAACTGACATTACATTTTCATAGGTCAGGTAGATTTTTGTAATAAATATGAAATCATAGCGAGCACACTTACCATTTGTAAATTTTGATATTAAAATTTTGAAAAACAGTAGTAATTGAAATATAAACACAATAATGGGTATATTAAAATACGAACTACGGAAGGCACCCATTCAAGTTTTACCCATTGGTACCATTCGCTTTATTAACTTAACACGAACCCAATTTTCTCAAAACTAACCTGATCGTGTCAGATATCATTGAGCATCGCACAGGCAGCAAGAGATGCATTTTTCAAACATTCTCCATAAGTGTTCTATGGTCCACATTTTGCTGAGTTAATAATTTTGTATCGTTTGTCAAAAATGACAATGACGATGATTGATGATACTAATAGGCATAATGGATTCAAATTATAATTTTTTTCAAAAGTGTCGCAAAACAACTTGCGAAAGTGTAATGGTGGTTGCATCCAGAATTTGGCCAGGCTCGTGAATATTGTTCTTTTTGGCAAATTGTAAAAGAAGCTTCATGTTTAGACATTGTGATAAATATTACCCAGTTTTAATTGTTTTTTTGTTTGTTTGCACAGGGTAAGAGTAGTGCAGTTTGCTACTGTATTATGTTAAAACAACAATAATAAATCATTTTTCAATCTACAAGGTGATTCACGAGGAATAATGGGTCTGACCAAATTCTCGATGCAACCACCATTACTCTTCACAAGTTATTTTGCGACAACTGTAATGTTGATTGCATTGAAAATTTGGTCAGGCTTATTATTCCTCGTGAATCACCCTGTATAAATTATAATCTATATATCTATAGATTAATGTCCAATACTGCAGAGTTTTTGGGCTATTATGATCCTTTTCATTTCGCCAATATACGTACAGTGATGGACAGTGAATTTCGTCCACCCAATTTCCATGACAGATTAAAAGTGTAAATTAGTCTTTAGGTTTTCCTAACCTTGTTTCAGAATTTTGATTAACGTTTGTCATGTTGACAAAATGCTTGATGCTTCTTGTTACTTTTTACCTTTGTCCTGTGAAATGGTAGTCCTTGGTATGCCCAAAAGTATGGAGACATGTCTTTGAAACATACCCTTTTGTATCAAAGAGATAATTTTTATTTTATTAAACGCACTTACTGCTGGCATGTTCGAATTTGATAAAATGTGACAATACGTATTTGAAAGTCAGTTATCATGGCAATAAAGCACAGACTACAGTCAATTTTTGTGAATTCACAGAAATCGGGTGGACGAAATTCACTGTCCATCACTGTACCTTTTGTCGAGTTCATGACAATAATAAAATTTTGCAACAAGCATTAAATATCTTTTTTTCTACACCCTATAATAATTCAACAGTAACTATGGTGATGTTAAATGAATGATTTGAAATAAATTTTAAATGTTACGAGTGAGCTAAGAAAAGTACTCCATTCGCCCTGCGGGCTCGGTGGGCTAAACGTGATTGCGTCACTTATCTGTAATAATTACAACACATTTGTACCATAAATAACTATTATACTGAATAAAAAAGTTCAACATTTCAAGTGCCTGATCAATTTTCATTTATTTTGTACTTAATGTTACAGAATTAGGTAATTAAAATTCTATGACCACGATGCAAATATGTTTCACAATTATTTCAGCATAGATTTAAATCTCTTTAACTATTTGCAACGAATTAATTAATAATTTTGCACTAAATTATCTTTACTGTACAAAAGTACGAATGAATAATCTAGTGTTTACATTTAAAATTTAACTGTAAAAATGGTGGATGCGCCAGGCTAGCAACAAAATCGTTTCATGTTGATCATAAACATTGAATTTCCGTACTTGTTAATGAATAAATGTACATTAAACCTATTTACAGGGTGCGCCATCAAAATTTGAATCGTTCTAACATATAAATAGAGTGAGGTAAGCAATGTTTTACCACATTTTACATAATTTTGTATCTAAGTATTTTAAACATTGGGAATACCTTTAATTTTCTATAGTTTAATAAATATTTTATGGAATTAATTAAAATCGTTAAAATATTCAGATATTTACCCATAATACCTTATACTGTTTCTATGGTGCATTTAAGCGTACCTCTTATGTTGCCGTTAAATACGTTTCATCCGTAAAGTACACTTGGTTGCAAAAAAATCGGAAAATGTCAAAGCATAAAAATGTCAGATTTTTATATTTATCCATAGTTTGAACATGGCGTAATTCTAAAAGGTGAGTTAAAACTGACAGTTAATCTGTAGTACTCAGTACTCATTGGCTTTTCACGTAAATACTCAACTAATTGATTATCTTGATTTGCATTTGATGCTCTCGGCATTTAAGTGCGGCATTGCAGAAAAAATTATTTGAATGCGACAGATGACAAATTGACAACTAAATTGACGGACAAAACCTGTTTCAGTCTAAAGAAAATTCTATTTTCCGTTTTTATTGCAACCAACTGTACGTCGTCATAATGTATCTTATGATGCTGATCCATATTTTTTGTCAATTTTGACATAATTCTTTATAATAATTTCTGAATTTAGTAAAATTTCTGATTCAATATTAGTGTGACAAAAAATCTTGAACACAACACGAGTTTTATAGTTTAGAAATTTCAGCCTCTTAAATTATAGGTCCCTCCGGTCGCTCGAATTTAACTATGATCTCGATTTTTAAACTGTCTATAAATCTCTTGTTGTATTAATAACTATTTGGCCTCGACTACTATAATTGAGGAACAGACTTTCAGAAAGCAGTTTGTCCAAATTTCCATTTTTAAGAAATAATTTAAATTTTTTATACAGGGTGCGTCAGAACTCGCGCCCCAGATAAATATGCCATATAAGATAAGATACCAGGAACATGGAAAAAATGTTAAAAAAAAAATATCTATAAAAATTTCGAAATTATGAGGGTTTAAAATTTGCACTTTGACTCTATTTATTTCTGTTGGAAAAATATTTTTCCAAGTTTTTTTGCTATAGGCTATAAAAGAGGAAACAAGGAAGCTGTATCCTAAATTGTAACTCTGTTCAATGTTATTGGTGGCTTTTATTGGTAAAATTTTTGTCCCTTTACTAAATAATTGTAAAAATGGTTTTTTTATGTCAAAAAATAAATGTCAAAATTTTTTGACAGATAGAATTTTTTAAACATTTTTTTCATGTTCCTGGTATCTTACCTTACTTGAAAATTTTCTCTGGGGCGCGAGTAGTTCTGGCGCACTCTGTATAAATGACAATAAATGTGAAAAAATATGTACTTACGCATTTTGCAAAAAAACTTTAAAAACCTTTATCCCAATTTATAAAAACATGGACAAAATGCATTTTGAAAGTCTGCTCCTGAAATGAAGTTTATTAATGCCGAGAGAAAATATCTATTTAGAATTCAAAAATAAACACAATTTTTTTGGTAAGATTCTAATCAACGCCATTTCGTGGTGAAAACAGTAAACGCAGAGGCCTGTCATGTGTTAACAAATCAAAATTTAAATTAATCAAAGAACGGTCTTTGGCCAAAAAGTCTTGTACATCATTTGTGCGTTAGGTATTTTATAGCGTTCAGTTTTATTAATGCTCTCAGCTTCGCTTCGAGTTTCAAAAATAAAACTTCACGGTGTAAAATTACCAACTACCGTTTTTAGAGCAGAATTTTTTTATTGCTGTACAAAAGGAAAACGGTGGATGGTCATTTTCACTTTCAGTTTGTGTGGAAAATTTCCAGGCCAGATTCCCAGCCAATGTGTTGCCTACTCTAATTTATTTTTTATTTGATCGCACGGTATTTGTAATGACTTTACACTAAATTATTATCTTTTACGTACTAAAGCGCACATAAATAATATAGGTGTAAGAAAATGTATGCGGAAAAATGGTGGATGCGCCGGGTTGGCAACAAAAATATCACATCATGCAAATTTTACGGTCGCAAATTTTTTGCTATATTTTGCATCACTTTCTACACAAAAGAAAACATTGTAAATGTGCTTATACTTTTCATTTATTTCATCTATTTTACAGAATGTGTCATACTCGTAGTATCAATGATTCCACAATTATTTCAACACAGATTTAGACAGAATATAAATGATGTGATTAAGATCAGCATCAATTACTGTTTGTGGATCAAGACTGAAGATGTCTCTGTTCGCCACTCTTTTATACATTTGTAACATTGGTCCACTTTGTATATGTTGAAAAATTGTCAATTGGGGTGTGTCTCTGCTAAAGACAGATGTAACTCACTTTGTCAAAGGCGCTGGGCCTGTGGCATCGGTGGTCCCGGTGGTCCGGCTCCATGCGTGGGCCGTGGTGAGGGCGGCAGAGGGGGGGCCGGGCAGCCGGGCAGGGGCGCACGCCTCTAGCCGAGCTCCATAGGCGAGCTCTGCCCCCGCCCCATCACGCCGACACTCACCCCCACATACAACGAACAACTGCAACAACAATATAGTTAATATAGACGAAAACGATTCGAAGAATGTCAGTGACAGGAAGCCGCCGCCGCCACTACCGCCTCCCGTTGATCTAACACGCGCGAGATAAACGATCCGACACAAAAATAAACGGATAAATTACGTTAGGTTTGCGTCGGCATGCCGATTAACGCACTTAACGCCGGATTATAATTACATTAAATGCTCGAAATGGGAATCTAGTCGGGGAAAAACCTTAAAAATTTAATGTGGATTAGGGGATTTAGGGGAGAGTGGGAATTGCCGGTAATTGGAAAAGTGGAGACGATGGAATATTCAGTGCATTTAATGTGATGCGTGGGTGATGGTGGGAAAATTTGTTGATATTATCACGAATTGTTTCAATTCAAGTGCGGTGAAATTAAAATTATCTCAAGTGCGAGGATTAAGCGAAATCGAACTTCAGAAACTAATACTACTATTATAAAATTGCTTTATTGATTTAAAAGTGAACGTTTATTTCCGAATAATAGTTTTCCTAGGCACCCGGGTTGTTACATGTAATGCAAAATGATATACAAAGGGTGTTCCGTTTTCCGTTTTGATTGTTACAAATTTAAACAGATGATAGAATATTCAATTTTAAAATAAAAGTTTCCTATAACAATGTGTCGAAAAAAAAACCGTGCGTTTTTAAAGGGTTTTTCCCAATATTTCAAAATAGATAAAATCACATAATTTGGTACAGATGTTAATCTTTATATACCTAAACGAATTCCGAAATGAAATTTTTAATCAAGAGTGTCCCAAAGGTTAAAACAAATTTGATTTTTAATTTTTATGCTGTTTGTGGTCTGTAACATTAATTTTAAAACCGATTTTACTCAAAATCGGTAACTTGTATCGGAAAAATGCAAAAGACCTTATTTATAAAAAACTATGAAAAGAAGTTTTGCACTTTTGACTTAAAATTGAATACTCTGTCTTCTGTTCGTAGCAATAAAAACGGAACACGCTGTATACATACATAATAAAATTTACTTTTTTGCATAGTGATTATGAAAGTTGAATTTTCATCACGATTGATGATTTATCAAATTGATATCTTTTTGGTCTTTGGGGTCCTTGGGGTTATTACTATGCAAAAAAATGTTGATAACAATCCGTTTTGAAAGTCCTTTTTTTTAATCATTAACTACAAATTCGTGAAAAAAAGTATGACTTTCAAAACTAGTTGTACAAATAACTATATTACTATTACTATGGCATGTTTTTTGTCAACACATTTCATTATCTTTCCGGAATATAAAACTGCACTGCAACAAAAATCTGACTCAACGTTTTATTGAAATCTGTTGACGTATTTTAAAACCGTTATTAATTCCGAGAAATAAGTAGCAAAGCAAATCCAAGTGTATATTTTTATATACGAGTAACAATTAATTGTCATATTAGAAAATTAATATTAGTCGTTTACTTATCTTTAAATGTGCTCACAATCTTATCGATTCTTTTGTATTCGATTATTTTAGATTAATTGCAGATTTTGATGTTTAGATTAGTGGCACGATATCATTCTTTCAAAACTATAAGCTTTGTGTGACTGTGCAACTATAATTAACACAAGGTATAATTTTTTGAACTACTAACAAAGTTTAGTTTCGATTTTTTAACAATAGGTTAAACGGAGGTTGAAATTTGAATTGCTAATGCAGTTATATTTTCGTCAAAACAATCTTAGTTAAAAATTTCCTATGTACATAAAAGGGTAACAGCACAGTAAAAATATTTTCCACTTTGGGTATACCTTTATGTGAGAAAACATACAAGCATCTGCATAACTTGTAAGGGTCTATTACACACGGGAACTTCCGAAAATGTAATATTAAATTTAATTTTCGCTTTCATAATTCAAAACACGCCAACGAATTTCCTCGAAAGTGCAAAAAAATTATTTAGTTAAACAGACGGCAAAACAAATTAAATCTCATCTTTCCCAGTAATTAGCATTCGACACCAGCTTCTTCATTTACAAGTTACATCTTTTTTAAGCGACTGAATTAATTAACAAAAGGAAACTGACCATTCGAAACGTTAGTTCTAGAAGTAAATTACGAATTATGGGCCGTGTTTTTGTTTCACCAAAGAGAGAAATTAAGCAAAACAAGCACATCCTGTTCTCTAGAGATGAGTGAAAATTAGTTAGGAAATGACTAAAGTGAGAGCCCCTTTATCATTCTACTCGGTTCCTCATTTTTTTCCTCCCTTGTGCAAGAATCACAGGTATCAAGCGACTTCCTGATAAGGGTGATCCATAAAATTAACTTTTTTGTTTCGACCTTAAGTAACAATTTGTAAAATTTTCGAATCACAGTCATAAAAAACACCACTTAAGTTATTTTTTTTCTATAATATGTATGATCAATCAAAATTCATGTTACGCCATGCCACATGAAATAAGTTTTAAACTCGATTTAAATTTTGATCAAATTTTACATAAACCGATCGGTTGTAGCGAAATGTAGAAATTTCGATAGTTGCACTGGGTAATTGATATTTGTTTTTAAATTATTTTGTTGCGACAATCTTTCGCTCCAAAATTTTAATTAAATTTAACTCTACCGGTTTGGAAAATAAGATATTGAAACACCTATGCATAATAAAAAATACAGGAATGAATTTTCTGATTAAAAAGTAATCTCAGTGTCAGTCATTTCCCAATTTCGCAAAAATTAACAACGAAATTGGCGAATTTCCACCTTATCTAAAGAAATTTCAGTGCCAGCAAACTAATCTTCATTAAAACAGTTATAAATGAAAAATAACAAAGAGTACGATAATGCAGAATAATTTTTTTCGACCGGGTTTGCAAGAAATCATCATTATACGTCTAACGTTGGTTCAGATAATTCCGGAATGAAAAATTGTATCGTCCTTTTCAACCCAAATTACGTTTTTTTTATGGCACAGCGTAAAGAATAACGATACTTCAGGGAACGATAATTGGAAATGATACAACTGGAATACGCAAGTCCGGATTAATGATTGTTGAAAGGATGAAGTGTACATGGAATCCTCTTATTTTAAATAATTTACAAAGAACTTTCGCAAGGCAAACATTTCAGTTTTGAGATTCAAGTTTTACTTCAAATTTAAAAATGAATTGGCTTTTATAAGGCATTTTTAATTTCCTTTCCGTGATGGATTACAGAAATTAGTTTCAGCGATTTAATGTCCTGATATTGAAAACTACAAATGGAGTATTTTACTTATCTGTTAGCTATGTTGCACATTTCGACACTTTATAACAACATTTAGTTCATCCCTCTCACAGTTTTATGGTATCGTTTCGGCTTTATGTCACAGTTAAAATTATGCCTTGCATTTATTTCACCTTGTTGAAATTAAACAAATCCCATTTTTTATAGTCGTGAAAACATTATTTTGAATTCATTATTAGCCTTAACTTTCTTCGTTCATTGTATATTTAAATTTTAATTAGCATTTCTGGACGAGATTAGCAAAAATACGGAACAAAATTACTGAAAAACATTACGTCTCGTTTAATTATTATTTTAACAAAAGGATTACTTAAAATTTCAGTATTTTTCAAAAGAAAATTAACATTTTTCCTTTCATTCGCTTTAAATAAATAGCGAAATTCACGAAGACGAGCTCCATTTTAAGATCATTATTTTTTGCGTAAAGACATTGCACCTGACCTTTTCTCATGCCAGCTAGAAAACATTCAGGAGCAACGAGAGGTTCAAATAATATCTGCTTAAATATCTCACTTAGCTTCAATTAAATTGAAATAACAATTTTCTTTTAAAAGTTAACTACAAAGATTCTGGTATTTATCTTTACGAAAAAAGGTTTATTAAAGTTGATAACAGAGGATGCTGTAAATAAAGTTGTTAGAATGGTTCATAAAATTATTTTACGATGCGACATTTCTGACTATTTTATGTAACCATAAAGGCGATCTTTTTGTTTTTCTTGATGCTTCAATTCGCAATACTGGTTTACCAGTAATTTTATTTCGCGAGACACACTTGACTTGATGTGTTAATTAAAAGGGAATTAACAATTTCGCGAGAAAAAGGCATCAATTTATTTTTTAGGTAAAGTCCGAAAATATTTATGTAAGTCCACATTTCCACTGGATTAAAAAAGTTCGGCCAGACGGGTCAGTAAACCCCTTTTCAGTGAAACCAAATCTAGAAAAAGAGAATCCATTTTCAGCAGTGACTGATTAAAGAAGACTGTTTTAATTATTCCCAGTTTTTGTGAAAGATTTGTGAAACTTGGCAAGATTCTAATTAGAGACTGATGTAATTATAAAGTTCTAATACAGGGTGTCATACTTTACAGACTTTTGGGATTTGGCCGACGAATTTGCATTGTTGGCAAAATATCGTAGCACAGTTGTGCACTATGAATTAGTTTTAATAAAGAAATATAATTTTAGTGAACATTTCCATTTCGCACTAAAAACTCTAATTCTTCCGAGGCTCTTTGTCATGTAATTTATCAAGTTTGTGAACAAAAAGCTCTACTACTTTTTGATTTTCTTACTCTTGCTGCTTCTAAAAAGCTTTCAGGAATTCAATCAGACAATGTAGCATTGCTACAAGAGTTGTAGAAGTAATTTAACTTTTTGTTAATCTACAAGTTACTAGTTAATTAAATTTACTTTAACCATTTTGTGTTCTGTGCAAATGTCAAGCTGCAAAATCACTTACACATAAACTTGTCTGTGATAATTATTGACGTTTAAATCATATGACATTGGCTGTAAATGTGTAATTTATGTAAATAGACCGTTGGCCATTAGTACCAATACAGCGACTAATGAAGCTAATACAGGGTGCGCCAGAACTCGCGCCCCAGAGAAAAATGCCATATAAGGTAAGATACCAGGAACATGGAAAAAATGTTTAAAAAAAAATTATCTATAAAAATTTTGAAGTTATGAGAGTTTAAATTTTGCACTTTGACTCTATTTATTTTTGTTCGAAAAATAATTTTCCAATTTTTTTTGCTACAAACTATTAGAAGAGGAAACAAGGAAGCTATTATCCTAAAATTGTAACTCTGTTCAATGTTATGTGTGGCTTTTATTGGCAATATTTTTGTACCTTTACTAAATAATAGTAAAAAAACATATAGAAGATCATCAGTATCATTAAGTAGACATAAAAAAACGTCAAATGTCAAAAAATAAATGGCAAAATTTCTTGACAGAGAGAATTTTTTAAACATTTTTTCCATGTTCCTGATATCTTATCTTACTTGAAATTTTTTTCTGGCACGCGAGTTCTTGCTCACCCTGTAAATAGGACTAAAATCGAGTCACCTTGGTATCTCAATTGTTAGAAAATTTCCACTTTTATGTCTCACAAAAGAGGAAATTTTTTGTTTGTTTTTCGTGAAACGGCGTTTCAAACTCTTGAAAATAATACATTTCGTTGAATTCCTGCCAAAAGTAAACAAATTATTTTTGGCGCAAGTGCGAATCGCCTTTTGCTCTAAATTGCGATTTGTTTGCAGACGTATGCTCCCCAATTAGCTTATTGGAGTAAATTTAATAAGTCTCGGCAAACAAAAGCGTCCAACTAAATTTGGATTAAATCCAGCAAATATATTGATCGATTTTTTTCTCACAGCATCCAATTAAACCGCATTACTGAAATAGTTATATCAATTGATATCATTTTTGGCGTTGTGTGCTTCGAAAATAGCCAACTCCTCAATGTTTGCGTTTCAGTTGTTTGCAGGATGCATAATAAAGCACGTTATACGATTCCGTTTGATCAAAGCGATCTAACACCCGATTAATCCGATACTAAAGCGGGTTTGTCGATTTCAGTCTCAATATTTCAAAATTATTATTCTTCGAACTCATGTCTGTATAGAGTATCAAGACTGAAAGATATAGTGTTGTTTAAATAGCAGTATTTATTCGACGCGTTTTACGTCAACACCTAGTTTATCTTTGGGAAATACGCTTTTTTATTTATTCTAGCGGCCATCTGGAAAAGAAAGTGTAAGCACGTCACGTGTGGAATAATAAATTTGAGTTATAGAGCGGTGTTTCACTCTTGAATCGCAAATTTACTGCTTCTATTCAGAGTTTAGGAACGTGAAAGCAATTAACATGTTCACCACCAGTGAATTATCCTCACCTTACAAAAGGCCGCTTTTGTGGTTATTTTTTTAAGAGTTGGGTACAATGGACACAAAAAGAGTACGAAAATTGTATCGATTCAATTGCTTTTTGCTTAATTGTACACATTATTGCGTAGAAATGTGCCATGTGATAAGATTACAGCCCTTATCTCTTTATTACATCACATTAAAAAGCGCGAATTTTTCAGACAGAGGAAACAATTATCCACACAATCTGTGTATAATAAGGCGATAAAATTGTTCGACCTTTGGGAAGGAAATTGAAATTGAGGTTTCCACTTATTATCTCAACGTTCGTTAAGGCGAAAGTAATGTTTGCAAAAGGTTTCATTTAGGCGTGTTTTCTTTGTCTGCCTTACGAGTCTCTAATTACATTTACATACCTCAGTGAAAGGTTTTTTATTGTTTCCGCAACGTTGTAAATCAAACCACTTGCTGGTAAATAAAGGGACAATTGGATCGAGAATTTATCTGTTTAATTTACTTTTCGATAAAAATATTATTTTTTCATTCGAAATCTCATTTCTCTGTTCCATTTGTGATAGGAGACGGAAGAGCAAAAGCCTTTCATCAATAATTTTAATATTTTGTGTCCTCGGGCGTGATTGTTTAAGGATTTCACATTTCCAGAAATCCCAGCTGTTCATCAATAAGTTTTAATATCGTAAAAACAACCTTGAAGTGAGATCAATACTGGGGCAATTGATGAGAGAGTAAACTTTGTGTGAACGGTGTTGACGGATGATGGCCATCTTTTTGAGACAAAGGAAATAACTATTATGTGTCTATAATACGAGAAAGAAGAGTATCATACTATCATACACGAAGTCAAATCAATAAAAGGTCTGTTGATTTGAAAGCATGAGAATTGTGCTCTCCATCTTGCTTTTTATTGTAAAGGTTGGACTCTGGGGATAAAACTGAAATTCACAGATTGTTTAAGACAAAATTCAAAGTCAATTCTTGGAAACATTTGATTGTAAGGATTGGATTTTTGTTCTTTACAATCATAATTTACATGTGGTATTTATTATTAAAAAAACCCAAGAGAGATCTTGTTTAATTATTATTAAAAGGAATTACACCAGCAGCTGCGGACAATTTAATTAAAGTTTAAGTTTTTATTTACATTTAATATAAACCAGCAAAAGTTTTTTTGAAATTGAAATAACTAACAAAAGCAAAAATCTGGTCAAAGCAGTCTACAACTTCGATAAAATTTATTTTTTTCCTTTTGGACCATTAACTAATAATCGATGATTTGGTAAAAATTGAAGAAGTAACGGTCTTGGCTATTGATTGCATTTGATATTCAAAGTATAAATACGTGGGGTCAAAGTATAAATACTGGTTGACGACTTACAATTACAAATAATTGTATCTTCACTAATTTCACAATTTATTTAGTAAAAATTTAGTAAAAATGATAAGTCGAACTTTCCTTTACTTTATTGTTCAAAGCTCTTTCGACTCGTACAAGACATTTATGGGGGTCGCAATACTTATAAAAAAATACCGAACAGAAAAAAAGTGGTACGATTACTCACATAAAAATAGGATATTACATTATTCTCGAGTTAAAAAAAATAATGTATAGTTAAAAAACAATTATAAAAAGTTATTTTTTAGCACAATGCAAAACACCTTAGCCTTTCTGTACAACAAATATGTTACAGTACATATGTAGCTTGAAATTACAACGTTTAAAGTTTATATTTATTGATAGACCCGTAAAAAAATAATTAAAGTCAAATAAATAACCTTGGTTATGATCAAATAAACCATAAAATTGATTTCCGTTGTTTTCCAAAATTACCTTTTTACATGTATAACTGGTAATTTATACATCGTGTTTATTTAAACAATTTGTGCTACAAATTTCTAGCTTCAGTATTATTCTTCGTAATTATCTTTAATTATTCAAACTATTTAATTTGAATTGTTGAAAACACAACTTTACAAATAATTATTTATTTAACAGTTGCCACGTGAAAAAATATTTGAATAATGTAGCAAAAATCGCTGATAAACAAAATACATCCAGCAAAGCTATTTATTTATTTTTCTAATTTTTACAATTTGTATAGAACAATAAAAGCAAACATGTGCATTTCCACCGCTAAAACTGAAAATTTCAAATTAAAGACTTCTCCAAATTACCTATTTCACCTTTTCTAGGAAACTTGTCTACAACACTAAACTACACTTTGTGGCTAATTTATAGAGTTCGAACTTCACAAATCGAATTAAAGGATGAAAATGCATCAATTCATCACTTTTTAATAGACTGCAGCAATAAAACGGTTAACCTCAATATTAAAATAGATAGGCGTTAGTTGTTCGTATCTTGACGAAAAAGTTGGTTCATATGATTGTAGGATGGCTTTCAAAAGTTTGTTGTAAAACATCGTGATTCAGCAAGAATAAAATCATGGAAGGGCAAAGGTGTAACACAGGAAAATTAGCCAGAATTGAAATTGATAACCTTTAGTTCCGATGTGAGTGGTAATATGCCTAATGAAATTATGGAAGAAGAATTCAATTTTAATACGAAAAGAATTACCAAATTTCCTAAAAGTAATTTTTATTTTATTATTAGAAATCGATAAATACTGAATTTTCCACCTTCGTGCAATTAAGCAAACAATTTATCATTTCTTCCAAAAATTGTTTGTGTTTACGTTGTGATAAATAATAATAGTACATATATCATGATGACGTAACAAATTTGTAATGGTGTTGGAAGACTACACTAAAGTTTAAATAAGTTCATTCTTTATGCTTTCACAACATTTAAGGATTAAAGTGCTCTCCACGGAAAAGTTATTTATAAAATAAGCTGAGCTTAGTCCCTGACGGTGCCCATAGACTTTTAGTTAATAATAAATTAGGTTTACTCTTAGGCAAACTCCGCTGTTAGTGGACTTTTTCCAAATAAATACCGATGCAACGTATTTTATCCACTTTCAAGAAAATTTGCTTTATTGAACCTTCAAGGGTTTTTAAGGATCACACCGGAGCTGACAAAATCTAAAAAAACGATTTGCAAATAAAGAGACTTCAATGAAACGAAATCCTTCAAAATCACACTTTTTTCGACCAAAAAATAGTGATGCAGATAATTCATTCATTAAAAATAAGAAGTTAACCGAAATCAGCATTTCTGCTGACTACTAATTTTAATTCACCCCTGCGTTAAATTTTCCAAACTAAATTATATGATTCTTTATTCAAATAAGCTCCCAAAAGAAATCTCAACAACTGCCAAAATGTCTAACAATTCAAATACATTACGTGATCAGAATCTTAAACGCCTCGAGTTAAGTGGAAAATATGTGGATAAATTTGAACATTCTTTCAACTTGTGGGGGGTTAAAGACGACGATGAAATTTCAAAATCTACCAGAGTATTGATTAAATTTAAATACGTGTAGATGAGGCACAGAAAATAAAGCATGCACCTGATTACGAATTTATTCCAACAAGCAATTAATGTATTTGCTGTTAGTTAGTTCATGATTGAAAACACACCTGACTGGACTTTGATAAAGCAAATATTTTCCTAAGAGATTTTTCGCTGGGTATGTATTATTAGCGCCAATTAGCCAATCGCATGATAATTGAAGTGAAAAGTTGCTCACAATGATCGATATTTCGTCATGCGAATAAATCGTGCGTTTTTTGTTCGTTTGCCCCCCGGAGTCGGGCCTTCCGGATTCCTCCGGGATACTCACCAGCGGATCGCGCGTTGGACTTCATCCGAGGCCACTGTATCTTACACCATACACCGAGAGGATCGGTTAGCACCGCCTCTTGTCCCAACGGTTCGAACCGGATGCGTTAACGGGACCGGAAATGGTAATCCCGCATGCAGGTTTTGCGTACTGAGCCGCGATTCCGCCGCCGCGAGACAACTTCGCTCAGCGAAATCTGGGACTGTAATGGCGATCCAGCGAAGAGAAAAGATGCGCGCGCCCGACTTTCCCAGGACTCGACATGAAATTATTGATCGTGAAATGGCACACGAAAATACACACGTATTGTAATGAAAATTGCATTCGGAATTCGTCTCAAGGAGAGAAAAAGCGGATAAAAGCCGCCAGACGGACGAATTTCCCGACACTTTGGTTCATGAAAGAGCCATCGGGGGTGAATTAGCGACAACGGGAGAAATGGTGGAAGCAAAGGCGATCGATTGGTCGATTGATTGCACCGCCCAGAAGAAAACAACCAAATTCGACAATGCGCACTAAAAATAAACGAGTTTTAACAAAATACTACGGCTTTGCAAATTAAATGCATACATACGTATTTAGAAAGTTGGAAATGACAACTCTAAAGTTGCATTTACAGAAGACTTGTCCGTTCCGTCTGAATGCAACGCTACAGCCCGAATTATCATATCAATAGTGCAAGTTCGAATATCAATAAATATTCCCTCTGCTTGCCAAAGCTGAAGCATTAATTATTATTGACAGTACGAGTACCTCTCCCTGAATTTCTTGTTTTCCGCTCTTGGTAATAGACAAACCAAATATTTGGTCTTGGTCAAATTCTAGGTTACTAAATGTATAAAATTTTTATGAGAGATGAGCTAATACAAGGGTTTTGAGACGAAAGTATTAGGAAACGAATCCACAAAATTATAACAAGAAATGTGAAATTTGTCACGTTTAATTTGTAATTTGTTTGATGATTTTCAAAAATTAGCACCCCGAAATCCACATATAGAAGAAAATGTATTATGTAGTATGTATTAGCACACGCTGTGTGCTGAACGAGTTTCACAACTTTTTCTTCAAATGTTTTATATTATTTTTACATAGTTTTATACATAGTTTTAGGATATTTACATTATTTCTACACGTTGATTCAGTTAAGATGTCCTTCACAATTTTGACTAATAAATAAATTGCCTTTAACCTTTGACGAAAGTAGATTTGACAATACTTATTTTGTATAACTTGTTCAAAATAAGATTTCCTCGTCTAATCAGACGAGGGAATATTCACCGGAAACATGATATTTTTCTAAATTTGAATAGACTTTTTTATTACTTTTTCGTTTTATTTTTTTAATAATAACCTTACTTCAAAAAGAGTCAATGTTTCACTTATCAGTTTTGTAAATAGGTTTGAATTTCCTTTTTTTTTTCAAATTTTCGCTATTCCCTATTTCATGTTATTCAATTTTTATTAGGTACTATGTAGTTGGTCGAAATTGATTGTTGGTTATATTGTTTTATTATTCTTTTATGTTTCCCTATTTTCGCTGACGTTTGTTTCGGCAAAGTTCGTTATTTCCAGTTTTATTGCAATTCTAAGCACTTTTGAGATTGTTTTCGAGTGTAAATTTTTCGGTCGTCAAAATCATCGAATTTATCCACTGGAATTTTGTACTTGTTTATCCATTTTATTCAAACTTTACATTGGCTCGGCAGTCGTCCTTATTTGAATAAAGTCGGATAAAAATAGGGTTCCTTTGTGTGTGATAAATAACGGCCAATTTATTTCATAAACTAGTTGAAAGTCAGACATCATGCTGGATTTCTTTATGAAGATAAACATCAACGTTTCACCAGAATTACTTCGTAGTTCGGGTGACTCGTTTACCGAAACAAAGAATTTAAAAAATCCTGTTAAATAAAAGTTAACAAGGTTTTTTACAACGTTGTAAGGTTATTTTATGTACCGGTAGAAACGTTTAGTAGCCGATTAAGATTAATTTTACAAGAGATTTAAGTGTAATTTTGTTATGACATTACTGGAATTATTAAACATTGTGGGGTAATAAAACACCCACGTCAATGTCAGGCGAGAAGAAGTCCAATCATCCCACGCAAGTTCCTTCAATAAGTTTTGCAGTTTATCATAATGTCATCATTCGTCTTATTCACACTTTTCGGATACGATATTGTACTATTATACCCATACCTGGGTTAACCTTTACCTTTGGTAAAAACTGTGTCTAGCTTTAAGCTTTACTCCCAAAAACTTCTTGTAGATTTTTATTAAAAAAAAAATTCTCTGGCCTATAAATAAATTAAACAGAAATTAGCTGCATACTTATAGACGAGTAACTTTAACGATGGAAAAAGAATAAATAATTTCAACTTCGATGTATAAATAGAAAAGCATTCGGTATTACCATTGACATGCACATATTAATAATAAAAAAGAACAGACGATAATAGAGTTGGACACAACAAAACTACATTGCAGCTAATTGCTTGTATCATAGTTAAAAATGAGGTGTCATTTTTAGTTATTTGAAACAAAGTGAATTCCAATTATTTGTCACCTGTTTTATTTCATCAATAGAATAATTTATTACCTAAATTTAAATCAGATACTTGGATTTTTTCAAATTTAGTAACCCCTTCGAAAATCATAATTCAATTTGTTACTATTTTTTTTTAGAATCAAATGTATTTATTGTATTAATAAAGTTATAGGAGGTGTAAAAGCAGACAAGTAGCCTAACCCAAATACGTCAAAAGCTAATCAATGTAAACGTACTTCACTTTTTTGACTATATTTTTAGAATATTCAGAGACCATTTTTTATCAGCAACAATCCGTAATTATTCCTATATCTTGTGAATTAATCCACTAATTTACTAATCGATTAAAAATACATAAAACTAAACACTTTTTTCCATTACAATTTTTTATGATTATACAGGGTGAGTCTTAACTTTTACGTATAATTTTAGGGTATGATAAAAATAATAACTAGTAGTGAAAAAAAATTCTCATAAAAGTTTTGTTAGTTACCGAGATATACCATGTTAAAAAACACTATTACATTACATTTGATCACGCCATGCCTGTCAATAGCTAAGTGAATTGATTTTAAATAAAATATAAATAAAAGAAAATAAATAAAAAAGTTTTATCTAACTTATTTGTTTTACTTATTATTGATCATAACCTTTCATTCCCTAAGTTCATGCGTATAAGTTAAGACTCACCCTGTAGCACCAAATATGTAATACAGGATGCATCAGAAATACGTGTGTTAATTTTAACACCAGAAAGAACTCACAAAGTAAAACAACTAGATCATAATGCACAATTACATACTCGTATGCGCGAAAATTGGCAATATCGTTCGAGGTCAAAAACCTTTGCGATTTGTTTTCACGTTGTGTGTTAGAAATCTAACGCACAATTCACACTCGAATGTTTTGTATTTTTTCATTCAACGTATTTTTTTTGTATCCATTATAAAAAATAAATCATTATTCAACATAGTTATTTTTGTATCCATTATAAAAAATAAATCGTTATGAAAAAAATATGTATATGTTCGTAAGAAAAAAATTATTTACGGTCATAGGAAAAATAGTGTACAAAACTTGCAGGAAAGTGTCAGCAACTTTCCCGCTTGTGCGTTATTTATCACTTTCCGTGCTCGTTATGTAATATACTATTCTATATGACATTTTGCAAAATTCTTATTAGTGGTTTTTATTGTTTTTCCCACATAATTTTGTGTAGACGAGCCGTTCAATGTTAATAAATAATCACAAGAATGCAGTTCTTTTAATGTAGTTCCGTTTCTATCACAACGAAAATATTTCGGAATTATTAATTTGATACTCATAGGCGGGTATACGTTTTGATGTTATCTTTTCCAAATTTTAAATCAAAATTGCAGCCTTTATTGTAAAAGTACAAATAGAAAAAACGTATTATTTATCGAAATGTGTTACATGTTAAAATTAACACACGTATTTCTGATTCACCCTGTATAGGTATTCTTTTAATAAAAATAATTACTAAAAGAATAAAAACTGCATCTACTTCAGGAACGTAACAAACAGATATAATTACTTAGTACTTACTTACCTACCTAATTTTTATACATCAAGTCAATTCTTCTGTCTTTTAGGTTGGTTCTTCATCAAGTAGCCCAAAAGTTCTTTTTGAATGGAAATATTAGCCAAAGACGAAGGTCTCTCTTGTGAAACCGTGTTTCTCAAATAAGTTTCTATACGCTTAAAACACGAAAAACTTCGTTCCACTGAAGCACTGGTTGATGGAAGTGTTAAAATTAAATGAAAATAATCTAAAAGCTTCTACAAAAATGTTTCTATTTTTATTAAGTTTTTGAAGAAGTTCTTGCACTGATATATTACGAAAACTTTCGTCGGCATACAGAGTGCGCTAGAACTCGCACCCGAGAAAATTTTCAAGTAAGGTAAGATACCAGGAACATAAAAAAATGTTTAAAAAATTCTATCTGTCAAAAAATTTTGACATATATTTTTTGACATTTGTCATTTTTTTATATCTATTTAATGATACTGATGATCTTGTATATGTTTTTTTTTTTAATTATTTAGTAAAGGGACAAAAATTTTGACACAAAAAACATTGAACAGAGTTACAATTTAGGATACAGCTTCCTTGTTTCCTCTTTTAATAGCATATAGCAAAAACATGATCATTTCTCTTATTTTGCAAAATTTGTTTTTAATTTGGGAAATACAGTAATTTATATCAAGCGATTTTTTCTGAAGAATATCAAACAATATATCAAAAGAACAAAAAATATCATTAAAAACAGCTGATAAAAACGTAAATTCAAAATCATCAAAATCATATAAAAACCCTTTTGCAAGTTGAATAGATTTTTTATTTGATTCTTCACTGTCCATTATAATTTCAAAAACTTCTTTCAATTTGTTCCAGTCTTCGACAAAAACATTAATAATTCATTTAGAATTAGATTACCATCGAGTTTCTGTAATAGTCGGTATTCGTCTTGTGTTTGGTTAAAAAAGGATCGTTTTGCGGAATGGTGAAAAAAACAGGAATTCTGCTAAGACCTGCGAAGAAAATTCGACATTGTGAGATCTTTTTACAACTTTGTTGGATGACGAGATTTAAAAGGTGCGCAAGGCAGTGAATAAAGACTGCTTGAGGCGCTTTTTGTTTGACTTTTTCTTGGAGTCCATTCAGCTGTCCAGACATCACACTTGTCCCATCGTAACACTGACCAATTAATTTATTCTCATAAAAATGAAATTGCTTCAAAACCGAGTCCAATAATTCATACATACAAAGCTTTTGAAAACCCAAAAAACGTGAATTATCGAATCTAATTATTACGGAACATTAGGATGTTTGGCTAATATCAGTAGTATCATCAACTTGAACCGAAAAGAACTCAGCTTTGTTTACTTTTGTTACGATATAATCATTAATGTATCCAGAAATGCAGTGAATTATTTCGTTTTGAATAATTTTGGATCCACCACTGAAAACGTCTTTAGTCTTTTCATTATGTGTTTTAATTTCTGGGAAACTTCTTGATAACAACAGTCTTAAAAAATCTTTATAATTTCCAGGATTTGTAGAATCGCTGCTCTCGTCGTGACCGCGGTATGTCAGTTCTTGTTGGCTTAAGTATACAACTTCATCAATAATTATTTGCAGAACAAGTCTGTTTGAACGCACATTTTCATCATTTAAAATAAACAAAATAATTAAAAATGGTAAAGTTATCGATTTTTTAAGAGGAAGATGCAAATCAAAACATTTCAAAACAAAAAAGTCTAACTATTTCGAAAAAGATTAAAATTAGGTATGGGGAAGGCTGATAAAAACTATCGCAAAAGTAATCTAAAAATGCAATAAAAACATAGATTTCTATTTAAAATGACGAAATTGATGACCAATTCCGGTAAAATCGGAAAAGCCGCCATCTTAAAAATATTTTTATTGAGCAGGACCTAATCGATTATGGGTAGGTACCCATATTAATACTTTAGATAAAGACAATTGTTAAAACTTATAATAATAAGTACCCACTTCTAATGTGGGGTTTAGTAGGAACATCCTGTATAATTCGTTTTTTAAGATAACATATTCTCTTCATTCTTAAAAAAATTATTGCATTCAGTACCATCAACAACTAAATGAAAATCTCTTAATGTTTGTTCATTCAGCAATGTCAGGGTCGCTTCGATCGAAGGAAATAAATTGTAAATCTTCGTTTATTAAAGGAAAACTTGTGACGAGACGAAAAGTCTCGAATCCCCTGCCAAAACATTTATTAGTAATCTGTGTTCTCAAATATGGTAAAGACGCCATCAAGCTAATTTCGAAGGTAATCACTAATCAGTAATAACGGTTCAATCAATCGGTTCAGAAGTATGCAGTCGGTTTATCGGATGATAAATGAGGCAATGCTTTATAAGCTATAACTTAACACCGGAATAATAGCCATGTTGACCAACTGTTCCAAAAACAAACAAAATCAATAAGAACGACGTTTCTCCGAAATCGTTGCGAATTAATCGCAGTCTTCCAAGATAGAAGTAACGAATCGGTTAATTAATTGCTTGGAGTGTATTTTTTTCACGTAACGACAACTATTTTCTATCGTGGCCTCCAACACGAATCAAACAAAATCATCGAGTGATAATGACGTAAAAATGAAACAAACATGGACTTGATATAAAGAGATTTATTATCATAATAACAGTAACATCGATATTTTAGTGAGGTCTAAACTCTTTCATTATTTTGACTCTAAACATCAAAATTTGGCGAGAAAATTAAGTATTAGCACAACAATAATAAACGATAAGTATATATTTCTTCTTTAAAATGACTCCATCTAGATTTAAAAGTTAGTCATCTTGTGTAAATAATCTAAATAAAATTTTTCGTTGCCTACATAAAACCAATTATTTACAAAAGAAGACCACTAAACAACTGACTAGTAATCAAAATAATCTCAACGTTAAAACCACAATAAAGCTACAGGAATGTTAAAATAATACATAAGAATACTATATAAAGTGGCAAATAAAATTATGACACTTTATGCGATAGAGATAAACAGAATACAATAAATAATTAAATAATGACACAAAACGTTTGATTTTCAGACGATCACGAAATAAGTGCAGTCTTTTTCGAATTGCTAAAGTTATTAACAAGGTGCATGAAAAATGGAAACGCTACTCGTCTTCTTGATTTCTGGCATAATAGAAATTCACCGCTCTACATAGATCGTAGTCGGCGGCTAAAACGACTTGTACTAATTGCTCTCGTGGGGCGCTATCTCCTATTATATCTCTCAATTGTCTGATGCAATTATCCAATCGGCCCGCATCTTGCGCCAGTGGAAGATCTTCAATCGAACTACTGTTCGATTGTTGATACTGGAAAAATATTCAACGATTGTTTACAACACTAACGAAACTAGAGAATAGAATACACTATTATTTTTTGCTACCATCACAAATAATATACAACTTGTTTGATCTTACATCGGATTGAAAATTGCGACAGACGGGTATTTTGTGCCTTTCAGAGACGCTCGAATCTGGGCTCGGCGGTGTAACAGATGAGGGTAGTAATTGTTCCATTGTTGAAGACTTTGCTGGTGGTGGTTGCGTCCACACACAATCGAATATCTCAGCTTGCAGTGCGATGGGCAATTCAAAGAATACCTCGCTTTCGGTTAGTTCGTGATGTTGCGCTATGAAACTTAAGCAGAAGTTCTGAAACGGTCGCAATCAATAAGTAAAACAAATTGGAAAAAATTCATCTTTACTTTTAAGATTCGAGCGTTGTACTGATCAGCCATATTGAAGAAATACAAGGCCGAATCTAGATCTATGCTGTGTTGAAGGGCATATTCGCATGTTTGTTTCAAAGAATCCACCTCATAACGGTCGCTTAGGAGTAAGAGTTCGACGAGTTGTTCGACTGAGAGAGAGTCGTCGCGGAGCCGACCGCTGTAGAGGTATTCCAGAAAAATGCGGAAGAGGAAAGGGTTTGTATCGTGGATAATTATTTTCCTAGAAGCACAAAGGGGTGTGATTGGGAAGTCACAGGAAAAGCCACAAAGGGCAAAAGCCTTGATTAAAAATAGCCGACATTCATTTAAAACAGTTTCGTCGTATAAAACAAAGTATTAAACTATTCGTAGCCATAAAACACTCAAAATTGGACAGAGAATGTGTAATTACCGAGATTATTTTAAAGCGATTCATTCATTTCCTTTATATTTTCAACAGCTTTCTTAATGTCCTTCATTAAAACGACACATAAAGGAAAAATTGCCGTCATAATTCAAATCGCTCGTGAACGTATTTTGAAGACAAAACTCGACTCGTAGAATGACCCAGAATTACTAACCGCTATTATTTATCACATTAAAAATAGCCTCAAATTTTTCAACTAGTGAAAAAATTCAAACAAGCCCCACTTTTGAAAGTTTAATTTGTATCAGGTGTTACATTAACGTACATTACGCGCGATATACGTTAAAAGTGCCGAATCTATAATTAATTTACAAAGTTTTCGAACTTGCGAGACCAGTAAATTTAAGCAAACTTGGTTTTAAGGTAAAACATTTGAACTTCCTTAGCGATACACTCCAAAATCATTATATTTGCCGCCGTGGTACGAACATTTATTAACTACTTAAGTTCAACAGTAGTATCTGCGATGGAGGGTGTTTACATGAACTGCATACAATTAGTTAGGAACTGTTAAAATTATTAAATGTTTCAAATACAGAAACCATCGATTATGAGTTTGTCGAAGAATTTAGATGCGTAGTTAATACATTTCTGCGGGATTATTAAACGTGAGTTAGTGCCAATGTTAATTTCACATGAGCAAAATTTGAAAACAAAAAGTTGGACTTAGAAAAACAAAATCTCATAAAACGACGGACCGAAGTCGGAAACATTTTCAACTACAGGTACATAAATAAAAATAAAAAAACTTGCGAGCGACAAATGAAAATGTTTTAAAAATTATCGAAATTAAGGAACGTTGTCGTTTTAAAAGCGAGAGATTTTATATTTTATAAAAACGAGTCAAAGAGTAACATCGGTGATGACCTGTTATATGAAATTGTTCTGTGTAGCTACTATAATAAATAAACAAAATAATTTAATAAGTCCAGAGTCTTTTAAAATTAATTAAAAACTCTTGTTCAGCAAGCAATATTAACGATAAAACTAACTAGAGTAGCACTGTTATAACGTTTGATCTGCCCCACCAACGTAAAATAACCAATCACAGTTAAAGTCTGATATCTACAACAAACAAAATTAAAAACAAATAATAGAAAATAAAATTTAATACAAATCTTCAAAAGTAATGCCATTATTGACCTTTGAATTTTAAAATTTGAACAAATGCACTAGTCTGGTCAAAATAGACATTTCAAATAACTAAAATTCCGACAGAGCTAAATTTTGGTGGAGATCTTGGGTACACCATTAGGAATAAAGTGTCAAAAGTCCCCATCGATCCCATGTGTGCTAAAAAAGTTATTCGGGGTCAAAGGTCAAAATTTGAAGTTTTTTAGATTTTTTTTTAAAACGGTAAGTTTTATCGAAAAAGTAGCTACTTTGCCCAGACAAAAAATATAGATCTTGAAATTATCTACAAAAATGGTGTTTATACTTTTTTTCTAAGAATCACCATTCCTGAGATATCGATATTCTAAAAGTTGAAGGAGTCACGTTCTACATGATATGCACATACAGAGTGCGCCAGAACTCGCGCACCAAAGACAAATGCCATGTAGGGTAAGGTACCAGGAACATAGAAAAAATTTAAAAAAAAATCTATCTATAAAAATTTCAAAGTTATGAGAGTTTAAATTTTGCACTTTGACTCTTATTTATTTGTCTTGGAAAAATAATAAGTTTTTTTGCTACAGGCTATTTAAAAGCGGAAACAAGGAAGCATGCAGTGTATTCATTACATCATTATGTTTTCCAATGTTTTTGGATGTTGTATCTAAAATTCGGAATTTTTAGAGTACAGTTGCGGAATTAAAATTTCGGGCATTATTGTCATTTTCATAATGTAAACTCTAAAACAACCTTTGCATTAATAACCTCATTTTTTTTTCTCTTGTCATGTTTATGTCATTTTGACTTAAAAAATAGCGTCAATGACAGAAACGTTTAATTGTCAAATGTCAGTCATGATGACAGTAAAAGGTAGTTTACAGTGAACTTTTTGAAGTGACAGAAAAATACTGCCCGAAATTTTAATTCCGTAACTGTACATCACTATAAAACGGATTTTCTTAAGAACAATGAGTAAAGTGGGAAGAAAACGGATACAAAATCGGTATTTCAAAAACAGGAATCATAAACATAAGGAGCATCGACAAGTAATTTCTTACTTACATTGAGTTTTTTTAAGGGTTTAAAACAATAGACGATCTTATGCATTCTTCCAGGTAAGAAAAAAGAAAAAGTTGAAATTCAAGACGTCTACAAAAGAAAGTTGCATCTTACATCCTTCGAAAATATACTATAAACGTTAAGAAACTTTTGATCTGATCTTATGAAAACCAGAAAGTTACTTATTTGAGAGTCATAATAATGCGTCGATTTCAGTTTATAATTACTTCACTAAATAATAGGCTTCTTAAACAACGGTCATATTTACCTCAAATATCTCAAATAATCACAATTTTATTTACAGAGTGTGGTTTGTGCCATAGCAGACACAATATGTAAAGTACTAAAACAGCATCTGAATGGTTTTTTATAAGATTGGCCCAATTTTTTGTAGAATAATTAAAGGATGATGGGGGGCTAATTTTTATCAGTGACCCTTCATTATTTCAATTTTTTACACTAACATAAGTGCATTTATGCCTGATTTCAAGGAAGTTACTAAATCGTAAGGAATTATCAAATGAGATGTAGAACATCAACCAATAAACCAAAAATACTTGCAAATTATACCAAAAAGACTTTCAACGACAACAATGTTACCGACAATGTCAAATTGACAAATTCACTCGAACATGATATTTAAGTGGTGTAGTTGAAGTACATATATAAATTAATGTGCAAGGCTACCAACCTTAGAGACCCTTTAATTGTTTCAATTTACATTGTGATAGAATTTTTTATTTCACTTTTAAGTTGATAATAAAAAAATGAAATTGATGACGCACCGGTCTACCCTCCTGATTTTTACTATGCATGGTCACTAAAAAGTATGGATACAGCTAAATATTTTCAGAACGGTTTAGCAGAGCACGTTGAAATTTGGGAAACAGTTTACTTAGTTTTTGGTCAAAATTCAGGCGGCAAAGAGCTAACGATAGATGAGGACAACATTTACAAGGCTAAACAAATTACGTTTTTCAAAATTTAATTAGTGCAATAATTTTAATTGTTTATCTACGAATGAAAAAGTTAAGTTTACGAGTGACGAAGTCACGAGTGGACTTTTTTCATGAATATTATACTCGTGTATAATATTTCGTTTAATTTTGTACTCACCTAAAAAAATACCTATAAAAATACAAGTTTGTATTGTAAGTTTTTTAGGAACACACTGTATAGTTAATATTCCAGGCGATGCACTAAATTAGTATCTATCAATATATAGTTTTTTTTTTAATTTTACCATTTAAAGATACTACTGTGTATAGTATGTTCTCCGAATTGAGTTTACAAAAGGAAAAAATATATTTTTGATTTTACGGCAAAACTGCAAAAAAAAATTTTTTGCTTCACCTGAAACGAGCAAATCTGTAATTAAAACTTCATTATTCTGACACAGTAGAAAAAAAGTTCATTTTTCTTTTGATTTTGGACTTCTAATTTTTGTCTATACAGGGTGATTCTGAAATAGACCGACAAAAATTTAGCCGTGGTAGTAATAGGAAAAAAATAGTAAAAAAGTCTTTGTTTAACCGTTTTCGAAATAAAATTTATTAAAGTTATGCTCGAGATAATGCGTACGACACTTACGTGTTTGTGAATAGGTAGTGAAAACCATGGTATTAATCTGATAAATGTACTTGATCATTGCAACAATTCATAAACGCCCTAAGTGGCACGGATCAAGGGGGTTTTACCCCTAAAAGATAAAAACGTAGAAGGGGTACAGATCGTCTCCTTGGGAAGCTGTAATAAAATTTTGTCAGTCTATTTAAGAATCACCCTGTATGCTTTCTAACTCCCATCACATTGGCGGTTTTATTTTTTTAACAACAATGAGAGTCCGCCTTATTAGCCGAAATTTTTGTTTTGTAATTTTTACTTATACATGTCTATTTTATTTATTAAATGTATGTCAATTTGACAATTAATTAATTAATTGAATAATGATTGATCTTGTTATAAAATGACTTTGTTTTTTTATATTAAAGCTGTTTCTTTGAGTTCTCATTTATTAAAATTATGTTTTTTACAAACATTTTTGTTATTTAACTTGCGTAAACTCATATCAAAGTGACATTGTGTCAAAAAAATAAAACCGACAATATGATGGAATTTAAAACGCAGAGAAAAATTATTACAAGTTCAAAATCAAGAAAAAAATGAACTTTTCTTTCCAATGAGTCAGAATAATTATTATTTGAATAATTTTGACTTGCTAGTTTCAGGTGGAGCAAAAAATGTTTTTCCTTCGCAGTTGTGACGTAAAATCAAAGATTTTTTGTCCTTTTGTAAACTCAATCCAGGAACATTCTGTATAAAAACATTAAAAAAATTTGAAATCTAAAGTTGGCAGTTATTTAGTATCATTAAAAAATAAGCCTAACAAACGTTTTTCTTTTGATATAATGCTGATGTAGTATTTCCAGAAACTACATACCTATAAACTTTGTTTTTTTTTTAATAAAAATCTCTACGTGTTACAGTTAATAATAAATTAATATAGAAACCTGCTTTTTTTTCATTTAAAACAATATAGTCTGTGTGTGATTTTGTGAGTAAATCACGCTTCGACAAACGTGTTTTTTCACATTGTATTCCGAGAAACGTCAATGATAGAGAAACATAAAGCAGTTGGGTTAATATTTCATGGTAAGGGCCTTGGCCTAGCCGACGCAAGTAAGTGTCATTATTAGCTTTTATATCGGGTAATGGACACGGACCGCCGACTAAACACCACTTACTTATCGATGGCTTCTCTCATCCCAGACAACAATGCCCTTCTAAACCAATCACACCTTGCTGCGACGATGACACGATGAGCTTTAATAATCCGTTCTTCCTCCGACTGCGCTTCATTTTCGCTTTGTTCACTGTTGGCACCACTATTACCAACAATTTCGAACTCCATATCAGGGTCGATCGCACTTTTAAATAATTGTAAAGCAAGTTTTGATAAAATACTGGTATTCGAAGGTGGAGGAACACATAGAGATTCGACTAAATTGAGCTGGAATTTTTCCCTCAGTTTCAATTTATTCCTTGATTTTTTTACTAGTTACCTTATAGCCGTGATGATGTTTCGGGGTCGAATAACACGAACTCGGCGACATTTTCTGGCAATCATTGGAATGAGCCGAAGTGGTAGTCGCGTCTAATAAACCTAAACTTTGCAACGACTGATTGAACGAATCCCTTTGGACCAGTTCGCAAAGTTGCAAAACGACATCTTGTAACATATCTCTGTGTGCGACTAGTTTTTGCAAAATTCCCGACTATCGAAAAAATCAAGTCAAACGTGAGCAACTTTTGTAATTAAGAGAGAGAAACTTACAACTTTGCTAGTGCCAACTTTGAAACAAAACTTGAATTCTCTCCATTCGAGTTTTTCATCAAAGGCTGCAGTCACGTCCTCCAAACGCAAAAGAAATATTGGAAGCTCCTCAATGAGCTGCTCTAAATTCCTCGCAACTGAACGAACTTTTTGAGCCGAAGACATGTCATTAAAATTCTCCCTAAAAACCTCTCAATTAGCAAAAATTTCATCAGTCAATCAAGCACCTTTTGTGAAGCAGAAGCCCGAGACTGCAGGTTATGTGCTCGTGGAAATTTTCCAATTTAGTTAATTCTCTTATGTGTAAAACATTTCGTAACGATTTGCCTAACATTTCTCCGACCCCTGATTTATTTTTGGAACTATCATTGGGTGAAAGCACTTGAATTATTTGTGATAAGGCTTTTTCCACCTGCACGATCAAAGTGGAAACTGTATCTAATATAATTTCGATCTGAAATCACGTAATTAAGAGAAATGATTCGAATTTAGGTGTCAGAAATACTTCAGGAACTAAGAAAGTTGCAACTTCAAGACGTTGTGCCGCCGACATTGAACCAAAAGTATTTTTTAATGCTTGCAAAAACCTTTGGAGTTGCATCAGAAATATGGGAAGCCTCGATTTCGCATAACGGATTATTTCGTGACGTTCCTCTCGGGACAGTTCGTTTTTGCGTTTTGTAAACAAATCACAGAGCAATAACAGTTTTACTCCGGCTATAATCAAAATTCACAATTCACAAGTTAATACGATTTTTATATTGTTTTTTAATTACCAACTGCCGCATCCCTGATTGATTGTTTCACCACAAAACAGAGTTTTGCAGGATTTGAAGTGATGTTTTCTGAAGACAAATGGTTATTTCTTACATTAAAGTGTTCAATTATTTGATTCATGCTTCCATGCATGTCATTGACTAGACCAATTATTTCTAAAAAAATCTACTGGTTACAAATCAAACTAAAGCAAAAACTTACGTTGCTTTAGTGCCATATTTTTCAAATATAAATTACATTTACTAACAAGTTTATTAAGACAGGGGTATTGAGACACAGCATTTAAGACCTGATGAGTGGTAATTTCCGTTAAGTTTTCTGGCAGACATTCAGCGTAAAGAAAATGTAATATTGTACCCAAAACATCTTCTGGGAGATTACTAAAGGGGTAAGGGTCAGCAAACCAATCGATGTCACAACCTTGCAATTTTAAAATTGTTGAATGAACCTTAAACTGCACAAAATCTGATTAAAGCAGGCCACAACTATTTTTACTACAACTGACTTGTTTTTTATTTGATGAAACAATAGTCAAGTCTGAAAAATAGCCGTCTTCCAGGGCTGGTAGTAAAGAAAATGGTATTGAATGGTATTTATCAGTGGAATCCTCATAAATGCGTTTACAATGAAGCATACACCAACTCTCACACGTCATTGTGAGATTGTCACGGGGTTCCATTTGATCACACTAAAATTGTGCATTATTTTTGCGATCATGGAAAACTCAAGAAGTACCCTGAATTCCAAAACATGACCAGCGTAAGCCCCAAAACGCAAAACAACCCCTGATATTGTTGTACTGTAAAGCTCATACGTCTCACAACTAAAAAGGGGGATCGATTTGAGTTCTTCAGGGACCGTCCAAATGACGTCTCCATTATCATCCAAACGGAATCGAACACTAAAATAATTTGATTAATTTTAACACTCATTTATGGCCAAAACTCTACCCTTCCAATCCTTGATTGTCACTGTAAGTCCCCGAAATGTATCCGCATCCAATAATCTGCAAATTTTAATTTAAATTTGCAAAACACATAAAAATGACAGCTGTCAAAACAAACAATATACCAAAAATAAACAAGCCAATAAAATTGATTTTTGCGCCGAATTATACGTTGAGAAAATTGCGTAATTCGTGATATTGGTGGATGCGGATTTAGTGGTAAATTAACAAATTCTCACCTCCCAAGTGCCGATAAAACCATGAAGGGCCATACTTGTTTGACATTTGTTGTGTCTTTGCATTTGTCAAAATGTGGGGATTTTTAACGGAGATGGGATTCGATTGGCAGCTCTGAGCGCGCTTACGAATGCGCTTACAAACTTAGATTGATTTTCATTGAGCTTACAAAACGTAGAGAGACGCACTAAAATGTTGCGTGGGATAAAAGCCAAAAGTACACACCTGGGCGCGTATGCGTAGATTATCAAAAAACGTCCCGGACGAGTGCAATCTTAAAAATAGGAAGCTTTTTGAAGTTGACAATGTTGACATAAAACAGTGTCGTGCAGATTTGCTTTATATTCTTGTAATATTTAGCAAAAAAACGATAAAAAATACTTTAAGCTCATTAAAAAAATTAAATTTCAACTGCAGTTTTTTAATAGTTTTTGGTACCTTAGATAAACAAACCTTAGTTAAATTTTATCGTTTTGGTAGAATGAAGCTTTGATCTGATTGGTGTTTTCTTGTGTTAACTGAGACGTTCTATTCTATCATTTAAAAATATTTGGTGTTCTTGTACAAAGAGTAAGCTTATGTTATTATAATTACTAAAATGGGACCCTGCACCAGTTTAAGCTAAATTTAAAATAGTGACATTTTTACTACATTTTACAACAAAAGTTGCAAAATACCGAAGATTATGTCTTCTAAGTGGTAAGATCATTTAGCAGAGTTACTACGTCATTGCTTTGTTTCCCTTCTCGCCCATGTGTGTCTTTCGGATACCTCTAATAAAAGTCGATGTGAGAAATGCAAATATTTATTGCTTGTAAGTCGTTAACACACTGTTAAAATGAAAAAAAAAGTATTAGATTATTAAATTGGTTTAATTTAAAACACTTGTATCCTGTGGTTTTCTCGATCACACACCAGTATGTGTCCATTGGGAGTCATTGCGACACCTTCTAGGCCTTTAAATTCGCCTTTACCAATGCCCCAACAACCGAATGAACGTAAAAATGTTCCATCAGGATGGAAGATTTGTATTCTATTATTTCCGGAATCAGCAACACAAATGTATCCTTGATCATCAACTGCAACACCTCTGGGAAATTTAAATTGACCATCGTCCGAGCCTTCAGAACCAAAAGAAGATAAAACTTTGCCATTTACGTCGAATATTTGGATTCGGTGGTTGTTTGAGTCGGAAACAACAACCCGGTTTGTGTTAGAAACGGCGATGTAGTGAGGATGTTCGAGTTGTCCTTCTTTGCTACCCATGGAGCCGAATTTACCAACAAAAGTACCATCGGATTGGAAAACCTGTTTCAGAAACACACCCAATTATGAAATGTTTGTTTTATTTTTATTTGATTACCTGGACTCTGTGGTTTTCTTTATCACAAACATAAATAAACCCTAAGGCATCAGTGGTAATGCCCCACGGATAGTTAAAGCGACCATCGGCCGTGCCTTGGCTACCAAAAGCTCTTAAAAATCTTCCCGAAGGATCAAAGACTTGAATTCGGTGATTGTACCGATCTGCTATGATAAATTGTCCTATTCTGTTAACTGCAACTCCTGCAAGACAATCAAATTCTCCTTCACCGTTGCCATATTGTCCAAATTCTTTCAAAAATCTTCCATTTGAATCGAAAACTTGTACTCGATGATTAGAAGAATCCGCTACTACGATGGAGTTATCGGGGCCCACGGCAACGCCGCGAGGCCAGGTGAAACATCCGGCTTCGCTCCCCCGACTACCAATTTCGAACAGCTGTTGGCATTTCTGCAAGTATTGACTCCTAGGGGAGGTACCTGCCACTGCCACTGCGATACCTACACAGAAAAAGGAATTCAAGTAACTTCAATGATTTATTTATGATTATTGTCTTACAGTTATAACAAAATTCCATTTAAGACAGTTATTAAAAAATATGCAATAACAAGTAAAATTGTGTTCGAAAAAGATGACATAATAGTATATTGTTGTATTAGGAGTAAAAGCGTCGTTTTTGTGACAGGTCTGTAGGATTTGACGAACGAGCATAGAGAGATAGGTAACTACATATCTTCTATTTTATTTTCAAATCTTGCAAATTAATTAAAATTTCTTCTTATTGTTGTTTATTTATTATTAAAAAATGAGTCGCACTGCTAAATTTGCCGTGCCATAATAGCGTTACTATACATATGTATTCAAAAAAGCAAATTAAAATAATTTGGTTTACAAGTACTTTGTACTCGTACGTACGAGATCTTCCTATTTTTAATATTTTTACTGTTCTCTTATTAAAGTAAATTTAGTTTACAAATTACTTATACTACATAAATAAATAATTTGGTAAAAAAGAGTAGTTTTTTTGATTTCACTTTTAAATGTCACTTTTACTCTAAGAAATAATAGTAGATTACATAAAAATGGGAGGTGCTTCAGCATTAAGGCGAAATTTGATGACCAAGGCGCGAAACGCGCATGTAGCAATATATGATACAATATGAAGCAAGCATTTTGAATGACATAACATAACAGTTCAGGTTAAGAAGTAGCCATTTCCATACCTAAAATGACAATATTAAATAACAACTGCAAAGGAAGGGACCACTTCCTAACCTGAACTTGATATTTCATATCATATCGATTTGGATTTATTGTAGGTTATGTTTGGAGCCTGAGGTAAACTCTTTTATTAAATATTTTCGATTAATTGCCCAATAATCGTCCAATGTCAAAGTTGACAGAAGCCTGAGAGCGATTAGTGAGTCCATGGTCATTTGTTACCGTGGATATCATCCATTCAAAATCCCTACTTTTTGGTTTCAGTGTTGTGCAGTCCTTAGTTTAAATTAAAATATTTTTGAAACGGTCCATTTTAGGGGTATTAAAGGTTATGCGTTTTTATTCGAAATTGATTACTCCATCGATTTGGGCAATACAAAATTGGTGTTAGGAGAGCAAAAAAATGGAAAAACACAGAAAATGTGACCCGCAACTGCTGGAACCGGAAATTGAGTGGATGTATCCGGTTTTCGTGAGTACCAGTTTAACGGGGGTGTTGTCACAGGGAAATGTTCCAAATTTTATAATATTTGGGCAACTAGTTCCAAAGTTATTACAAAAAAAACAAATTTTCATACCCACATTCCGAGGGCTGTAAAATTCTTATCAGTAGAGATAGGGCACGAGTTATTATTTAAATTAACATCATTTTATAGGCTATTTTTGAGGTTCAAATATTGCTTCATATTTATGTATAGCACAGTTATCTCTTCTTACAAAATCAAGATTAAAAATACAATATTTGTTTTAGAAGTTGAAATATTTTGTTTTCGAATTCGAAAACTGTTACTACAAGAGTAAAAATATTTAGCATATCTAATTTTGTTTCTTATTAAAAGTAAAAATTCATATTTGTTTCCAGATGATCTTTGGTGAAGTTGGTGAAGAAACCAAACATCAAAAATTTTTATAAGGTTAAGGTTCGGTTTATAAAAGGCGAATTAAAAATTAATTCGTTGAGCACTTGGTTAGTTCAAATTAAAACGTACTCGTGTAACCGTTCAAATAAATAAGTTCCTTTAATAATTGAATTTTTTGTAAAGTACACATAAATACGTTCTTGAAAATTGTAGCACTGTATGTATCTTTTTTAATTTTGCAAGTAGATTTCCCAAAATCAAAATTTTTCTCAACAGAATTTGGAAATGCTGATAAATATTTAAACTAATTATTTTTTTAATATTTACCATATTAAATAAAACATAAAAAGATCAACTTTACTTTATTTAGTTATAAAATACTCTGCATGTATCTAATTACTTTTAAACCGTGCTATAACCAACCTCATTAGGGCCACTACCAAAACAGTTTTGTATAATTTTTTTAAATAAGAGCAAATTTTTCATGAACAGCATGATGTTGCTATAATAATTTCTTTGATGTAAATTTTTATAAGAGGTTGTTAATTTTGATCCTCTTGGATGAAATTTTCCTTTTATTTAGCACCTGAGGAATGTCAACATAAAAGCACTTTATATTGGCCAGTAATGGTGCTCGAATATTAAAATAGTTATAAAAATACTAACCGGCTGCCGCCGTAGCTGCTGTAGGAGGGGTAGTGGGGGAGCCTTGCATGTTTTTTTGATCGTCATCCGAGCTCCCTAACTCCGTGGAAGACCTCAGTGGAAGACCAAGGGAAAGTCTCCTCGCCGTCGTCGAACTACTCGTCGGCGTCATCGAACTACTACTCGATTCCTTATCTTTACCACTATTTCTATTTCCGTACTTGTTCTTTAAATATCTGGCCCAAGAACTCAACGCTGCCCCATCTTTCTCCGTCGCGTTTGACCTATCGGGCGAATTATCGCGCGATTTTAATGCATGTGAGGACCGGCTTCTTGCAAGATCATGCCCTGATGATGCTGCAGAGCCGTAACCGCGAGACGCTAAATATGCAGATGGATTCGATGAAGTTGGTGAAATGGGTTCATCGATATCCTCCTCATCGCCAAACTGTTGACTACTTCTACTACGCGCAAGTCTCTGTCTTCGCTCTTTCAAAGCCATGTATCTTGACCGGCCACTTCCATATTTACTGTCTGAATCGTCACCAAGAGTAGAACTGTACTTGTGGTCATCTTCTTCAGGTGGTATGGCAGCTGAGCTTTTGCTTTTATTGAGAAAACGGCTAGTGTAACCATATCTAGGAGGTTCCTCATCTTGTACCGCTGAAGTCCTCCGGCTGTATCGTGACCTAGGGGGCGAGTCTTCTTTAGGGACTCCATACCTAGGTCGAGTATAGGTTGAGGATTCGTCTCGGCTGCTTTTCCGAGCGTTTTCAGCACTGCCGTCTCTAGCGTGGGCACTTCTAGCCAAAAGAGGACCAATATCAGTCTTTGCCATTTCTTTGTTATCTGGTTTTTTACTAGTGTCATCGTCAGATTCTTCTTCACTTTCTGTTTCTTCCTCCGAAGTGGTTTCAGTCTCATCTTCATCTTTGGTCGTTGCTGGTGGTGTAGTAGTTTTATTGTGAAGAAACCGACTTTGGAACGGCTTCTGTGTCTGTTCTTTGGTTGCTGTTGGTTGTACTCTTGCAGACGCATCCACACTCCCTCTTGATAAATACTTCTGTTTAACTTCTTCAGTCGTGAACGGAGCCCCAGTGGTTCGTATAGCATTCGACGAAGCTGTCGATTCTGTTGAAGTATTTGAATCGGAGCTGGCTGATCGCGCAGATTTTTTATGCCCCGCATCCGAGGCTCTTCTTGTCGCCGCGCCCGTTTTACTCGCGGCCGTTTTTCGTTGTGTCTGTTGCAACGAAGTAAGAGATTCGTCGGATTCTTCAGGACTGGAGATGGCCTGAAGAAAATATTGTGTTAGGATCTTGAATGCTTCATGCTTCACACACACAACACAAGGAAGAGTGGATAGTCGTGGCATGCCAATGTGTAATCGAGTTTAAATGTGGACACAATCACAATGGACGGGAAAAACACTTATTCTAATTAGACTAAATTGTTTTAATCAGGTACTTTGCGAGGTTACGGCTCGTCTAAACTCACCTCGGGAGCGGGGGTTTTTCTCTGAGTCGAGTGTCTTTCTTCGGTGCGTTCGGCAGGTCTGGTTTCACTCTCGGTGGAGGTGGTGGCACCTTTATTTTGTTTCTTTATTTTAGCGATCTCGTCTTCTTCGCTTACTTGTCTGTTTGTAGGGGGTGGAGGCCGTTTTGGTACAATTTTTGGTTGAGGTGCGGGTTGTGGAGGAGTTTCTTTCTCCTTCTTTTTTCCGCTTTCATTCTCCTGTAGTTTTTTCATGACTCGGGGAGAGTCAGCGAGACGGGTAATACCGCTTAAAGGACCTCGAGCTACGTCTTCAGTATCGAGGACTTTTTCGCGTTCAACTTTCGGTTGTTCGAATCTAACTCCACGACCCTGCTGTTCTCCATCAGAATCGTTATCTTGTCCATGTCTTCTAAATCGACTGTATCTAGATCTGGCCGGCCTGGAGTCATTATCGTAGTCGTCACCATAGTCACTGCCTCGGTATCTATCACCGTATCTCTCTGTTTTGGGTCTTTCCCCGAACTTACGGCCTCCGAGGAGTGCCTCGTCTTGGTCGCCGTAACCTCTGTCATACCCTCTTTCCTCTTGTTGTCTGAATTGTGAGGCTAGTCGATGGTCACTTTTGGACCTCATTAATCCCGGTCCTGGTGGTTGCAACATTCCCGAACCTTGACTAAAGTGCTGATTTGCTAAGTTTAGATCCCCGTAGCCGGCAACGTGCAGAACGAGTTGATTTGGGTCGTGAGCTAAAACCAGGCGAATTTTGCGTGTATAATCCGTGTTTTCATATTCGAAATTCCGGATAAATTCAACTGTCTTCAAGAAAATTTCTTTAGCGTCCATCAGCTCGCAGTCATCCCAAATATCCACGTTTTCATTCATGTGCTTATCGGCCAGGTCACAGTTGCTCAAAATGTTAGAAATTTCTTGTTCCAAGTTTTCCTTCAAATTGGTCAAACTTTTTAGTTCCGTTCCTAAATACCGATCGATTTCACCTCGTAAATATTCCGTCCGGTCTTTGAGAGCTTTGGAGAGTCTCCGGTAAATCTCCTCGACTTCTTCACTAACCGACGAGCAATTCGATTGAATACTTTGAGTGTTTTTTTCGACTAGAGATAAAGTATCTTGTAACCTATGTATGCCTCGTCGGATTTGGTTATTAATCCGGGATATTTCTCGCCGAAGGATTTCCATATGAGCTCCCTTGCATTCTTCACAGATTTTCTTATCACAGTGGGAACAAAAACTACAATACGCTTTTTCTGAGCAAACATTACATCTTTCCATAACTTGACCACTTGTTGGATCCGGAAGTTCGCCAGTTATTTCAATATGAAGTTCCAGGAATCTTTGAAGGGTGACATTGGTTGGAAAACCCTGCACCCCTTGATAAGGGATGCGGTGTTCCGCTCGACATTCCGGACATTTTACCTAAAAAACATATTACTCCCAACTCATTTTTTTTTCAGACTAACCTGTCTTCGGACGTAATCCACCAAACCCTCCAGGCATGGTTCCATGCAAAAGCTATGTTGGCATGGCAACAACTTGGGATTGCGATAACGGTCCAGACAAATGGCACATGTTAAGAGTTGCTCGAATTGTTCCATTTTTCAGTCTACAAAAGCAACATTTCTGCTACAAGTGCACTCTTCGAATGCATTAGAAAAACCAAGCGGTGGAAAACAAAGAAAAGCGTAGCCAAGGACGGACGTTATTCACACGATATAAATAAGTCAAAAGCAAACAAGACGAATTTCCAGATGGGCTAAATTAGACACAAAGTGCTCGTGAGGAAGTTGACACGAGCTAAACTAGTTCTTAAGACGGATATTTTAAAATAAACAAGTGAGATTAGAGAAAAAACTTTTCAGGGTCTGGAGATGCAATTTTATGCCTAATTTTACATTGTTAGCCAAGCAATGTCTTGGGGTGAATGAATCTCGTCTATTTTTTCAGCATAAAGGATGTTTTCAGCGTGAACAGTTTGGCAAACGTCCACCTTTGAGAGCTGAAAATCGTGTACATGGAACTGTTAAATCCCTGAATATAGTCACAAGGCGCACTTTAAATAACCGTGATGTGTCTATGTGTGAGTTGGGTGCCCTCTCATTGGGCGCTCTCTGGAATTCACGACTAGCGTCCCGACGCTCATTCTCTCTATTCTGACGTCAATATTTAAAATTAGACGCCGCAATGAGAAATTTATTATTATAAGCACTTGCATATTCGAGGCGAATTAAGCGAATTATTAATTTATTCATAAATGGAGTCGTTATTGAAACTTCATTTTATCTAAAGTTAGGAAACAACAATAAATAACAGATTAAAACAACAAGTCCATTTTGTGCAGCGCGGATAAAGCAAATGAAAGCTTTCGTTAGGGAATAAAAGCACAAAAATATCTTGTTTTGTTATAGCACAACGAGTTTTGCAGTTTTGCAACTTGACACTTCTAAGCTCGAGATTACAAGTTTCCGTCTACCTTGTCATTAATTTGTTATAACATCACAGATACACAATTCATCACACATAAAACTTTGGTAAAAAGTCGTCCGCGTGTTAACTGGCGAAGTGTGTGTGCAAGAATACGCGATTGAAGGACTATATCTTATTTTAGATGTACACCGTATGATCTAGTTTCTAGAATTGAACACCGAACACCCCGATGCGTTTTAATGAGTTTGTTCTTTGGCACCAATACGTGTGGGACTTTCGCGTGGGTCTTGTGATTTTCGTGATGAAAAATAAAACACGGTGACGTCGAGAATTATTAGATTAAGGTTATATTTAGGTGTGTGGGAAAAAGTTTCGGCGACGCCGAAATAGGCAACGCAAGACTGATAAAAAATTTAAATCTCGGAAACTGTGGAAAAATTGCACTGTCACCAACCCATGAAGCATTTTTATTGCGATGAAAGCTTCGCAGGAGAGATTTTTCATTTATTTTTATTTTTATTGGGGGCTTTTACACTTCCGGTGCTAACTTAGAAAAAAAAGCATTACTCCACCAACACTTTTGTAAATACGAGGGGCAACAAACTTTCAAACGACCTGTTCAACGCCCGAACGTCCGCGCCAGAAAACATGTCTAAAAAATAACACTACTCGTGTTAAAGAATATAATTTATATTTTATTTTTACATCTAGTTAATAGTTATCAAAGTGATTTTTGTCTTGAAAAAACAATTAATTTAGAACCAGTTTGGCCCTGAGTCAAATTCTCGAGGTCTTTAGAATATCTTTAGAACGCGTCAACCTATTTGCAAAAATATTTTTCATTTTCCAACTGGTGTTACAATTTATCGCGAACTTGAAATTGATTGTCTGAGTAATTTTTTACACATTTGTTCGTTTGCTCGCTATAAAATATAGCTTAGAGTAAATGGTTTTACGAAAAAGGGCATTTTGTGTGTCGTTTCGCAACATAAGAAAAGGCAGTAATTAGCACGAATTAAGCGGAAAGTGGAGATAACCGCCTAATAGTCTGGCAAGACCGACACTTTTTTTATTTGCTGTTTTCTGAAGAAAAGCGGAGACGAGCAAAAAGCCGAGAATTAAGGGACGGCTTGTATTACTAAAAGCTGCAAACAAAATGTAACGAGTTTAGAATAAAGGCCTAATTACTGAAAATGTAATTATCAGAATTCTCGCAAAGATTGTATGATTTTTCGCAGCGTACCTATTTGTGTTGTGGTTAATTAGAACATATTCATAGTACACCCTTTGACAAGGTTGGTATCAATCTAAAGGTGTTGCAAACGCGGAATGCAAAATAAGGTGGGAAGGTGTTATATTGTTAGTATTGATTGGATTAGAAAATATCAGGGTTAATTTGCATAACACAAATTTTAGGAAAATTGATTTTGCGAAGATTAAGTGTTACTAATTTTAATAAAAATATTAAGAATTAAAGTTTTTTCACATTTCTAGAAGGGTTATTTTTTCAAGGTTCGATTAATTCTTAAATTTAAACAAAAAATACACAACCATTTTTTGATTACTTATACACATTATTATCAAAATAATGAACAAAAACACGATAAAACCCGTCACAGCAAACTTTTATTTCAAACACAAGGCGTCTCAATCACAAAGTAGTCATCCTCAGGTGAGAATAAAACTGACTTTTTAAAATGGATGACCACTTTGTGGTTGAAACGCGTTGTGTTTGAAATAAAAGTTTGGTGTGACGGGTTTAATCGTGTTTTTGTTCATCGTTTCCATACCAAGAGGATCTAATAAGAAGTATTACCAAAATAATTAATAACTTTTTGAATTTCGATTGGTTTTTAGAAACCTTAAAAAATAATTATTACATTTTTAGACAGTGTCATTTATTTTACGTCAAGCATGATTTGCCTGTTGTTACAAGTATTTTTCGTATTTTCTTGAAAATAAAGAGCCGTTAACTTTTGATTAATCTTTGTATAACAAAACTTGCTGTTTGTTTAAAATTGAAAAGTCAGTAGGTATTTTATAAAACAAAATACTACACAATTTTAGATGGCACAATAACTTTTTACGTTTTAAAATAAATTACATATTATTAAATTACGTGACTTAAAAATCCACTACTGGATAGGATATTATTTAAATTTTCAATTTTGTTATAAATCAAAAAAAAATTCTATAAAATCGTGCTTTCGTAAATAAATGATTAAGTGATAAGTGCGCAGAAGTCTTGAGGCTATTATTCAGTCTATAAGGGTTTATCTTAAAATCTAGATTAATTCAGAACTAATAGCCGAAGGATCCAGTTTGCATCCAATTATAAGTTTATACCCAACTATTGGAAGCCAAGTAAAGAATATTGAAAGAATTACAAGCAAGTGAATTCAGTTGTCTGAAAATGAAATAACTTTTTTAAGCACTCACAAAAATTATGTTAGTCCATGGTTATATGTTTTAAGAGTCAGTTTTTGCCATTAATTAAAGCGACAATGCTAAAATTTTATATTAAGCATTCATTAGTGGAGGGTTGTAGTTGCACGAGTTGGGTTTTCTTGATTTAATTGATTGTTTTAATGTGATAAAGGGTTATGTGTAGAAAGATGAAACATTTATTTGAATAACATGTGAGTTTGGAGTGAAAGAGGGTATAAAGGGACGAAATTTAGTGAAAAAATAAAATAAAGTATATGACCCTTGACGTCGTCGCCGTAACTCTTGAGGCGCTTTGTGTTTAAAGCTTACAAAGTAAGATAAAACAGATATTTGATTATATTAAAAATAATGGTGTCGTTGAAGCCCGGCCCCGGTTTAATTATGCCGAGCGGCTGTAAAATTTAAAATAATTAGTTAAACAAGGATAAATCCGCGGAGTTATTAAAATTAAGGAAAATTAGAACAAAACCTTTTGTGTGCCTGCGTAGATGAGCCAGCACTTTTTAAACGGTGTCCTATTTTTACTTTTATTGTGTTCAAAATAAAGAAAAGTTTCAAAGACTCGTTTCGCATTTTGTTGAACTTTTGGTGCACAACATTTGATGCATGCCACTAGAAATGTCTAGACTTATCCCGACATAAAGCGAAATCCCGAAGATTCGCAGCTTTTGTGCATTTGCGAAAGTCTATTTCAGGTGAGACGCCCTGAAATCCCCACAATCCTTTTCTAGTTTTTGCACGGGAATGAGCAACAAAACGGGATCTAATCCACTTTGTAGGGCCTGGGGGCGTCAATTAGCACCTGGTCGACCGGCATTAATCTGCTTTTCAGCCGGCAGATGGCTTCACGTGACAAGTGGCTGAAACCCGAACTGTATTTCAGGCCAGCGCGAGGATAATTATAGCACAGGGGTCAGAAACGGACATCACTCTTGGCTTGCTTCTATTCACGCTCCCTGAATTCATTTCACGCTATTTGTTACATTTTTTCTTCACTTCAGATGGCGCTTCTTCTATTTAAATATACCGCCGAAACGCCCTTAACGAGCTTTCGCAACCAATTCGGTGATCGCTGACTTTTTAACGCCAGATTCAAAAAATTGCTCTCATGTTTCAGACAGGAAACAAATTGTTCGATAACGTTTATCCTGCATAATAATGTTTGCGCTGTGTCCTGAAAGCTCGCATGAATGAAAATTTTGGCGCCAAAACCAAATAATTCTTAAATTGTGTGAAGCTTGGCATGTGAAAAATGCACTTGCAATGTTAGCAAAGCTTCGAGAAAATGCTTACCGTCTGTTTGTAGAGTTCTCAAAAGTTCATCCGAGGCCCCGCAGGGCCTTAACTATTAACTCGGTCCCTTTGCGATAGTTTTGGAATTCCTGAAATGCATTTCATAATGAAATAGTTGGGTTTTTCCAGATAGAATTTTATTTTGAATGTGTTCGGGAAGTTGGAAATATTTTTTTTAATACAAATACATTCTTGGCACGGCTTCAGCCGAATATATTTAATGACAGCAGTTTATATAACACTGCTTTAGCATAATTTTGTGTTAAACTGTTTTTATTATTGGAGAAAATAAATCCGAAAGCTTCGTTGTTAAAACTTTTGTCAACAACTTTAAAATTTCCATGTTGATACATAGTTGTGTTGTATTTGAAGATTAGATCAAGCAAAAATTCTGGATAGATGAGATAAAATATAGGTTTTGAAAAACGCTGAAATATAAAACATATGGCTGCTGTTAGAGTTTATTATAAATGATAATAAATTTGTCAGTGGAAGCGTTGTTTGCTTGTTTCTCGCCTCTCGCCGGTTCGATAATTGAAGTTGAAATTAGACAATATTTGTGGGAAATTGGATTCGGCAAATGGAATTAATAATAAATTCTTAACTCACACTAAATCCCACTGTATATCGAATGATTCACTTATGGCAAGTATGTTGAAGGTTTGATATGATTTTTGATTGCACTAGTGGTGGTCGTTGGTAATTGCCGGCAAGCACTAGATGGACTGCAGGTGATTTCGCAGCGAGACGCTCTTACGAATTCTCTGCCAACTCCACTCTAAGCTTGTCTAAATAGATTCGAGATGACTTTAGGATAAAAATGCACAACGTATATTTGTCTCGACGAGCTTTTTTCCAACTCAACTTTCCAAAAACACAACTTTTCGGGTCAAACAAACACAGTTTTATTTTAAGGAAAAAGCACTACTTATTTATCAATTGGCTTACCCTGTGTGCTCTTTCAAATTGCTTCGCCGGCACTAAAGAAGAATTACCTCGACGAATAACAATAAGTCGTGTTTATTGCTTTAGCATTTTCAAATTTTAACACTGTCTTTGCACGGAAATAAATTAATGGTCTTATTACCATTTCACTTTCAAAAAGACTCTTTTTGCTCGACATAAATTTTAACTCGTAAGTAGTTACAGTGGAATTCTTCTTAAGTAGAAGTTATGTTTATTTTTGATTAAAAAGTTTATTTTTTCGTGGGCGCCGTTAATTAAGAGGTGATTTATTGTTCCGTATTATAGCAGATTTTCAATCTCACATTATCCATACCATGAATAATAATTTTGTATAAATTTTAAGCGTTGGAGAATAAAGAGATTTTGAGTTACTGATTATTGAAAATTGTGAGGACATCTATATTTTTTGAAACAATTTGAATTTTGATTTCTACCACTTTGACCTCAACTAAAGCTTTTAGCAGTAATTAGTTTATTCATTATAAATGAATTGTAATTAGAGGTGTAAACTAAGGGTGTAGGTATTGCCATATTTCAAATGTGTGCTTTTGCATTCAGGATATTGATTATAGGTCTTAATTAAGTTATAAGGGGTTGTACATTAAAAATAAAAATTTAACGTTAAAACATGTTCTCATTTTCACGATAACATGAAGGAGAATTTGACCAATCTGCGTTATTTTTTATCAGAAAATGAAACAAAAAAATTAGAACATTACAAACCACATTTGTAGTGAGCAATGGATACATATTCTACAAAAGTCAATAAACATATTCTGTTAGGTAAATTTTAGTAAAATGAAGATTAATATTTACTTGTTGGAAAATAATTATTATTTGAATAACAATTTTAACAATTGTTTGGGAAACCCAAAATGATCAAAGTTGCAGTTTCATAACTGCAGGCTTATAAATTACTCATAATTGCGTTTAATCAAATTAAATTTAAATGTGCAGACAAGTAAAACACATTTATGTTAGTATCATTGGTCATTGATTTGCTTTTAGGTAAATTGCTTTTCGTAATTTATTCATCAGATGGTGATTTTCTATCCACAAAAATCGCAATCAGGGTAATTAAATGATCATCCTGTATCAATTAAATGAGATATGAGTATAATGGGCCTTAATGATTCTTCATTTGTCGTGATTCAAGTTCAAGACGAACAAATTAATTTTAAAAATAGAGATTTTTCGCCACTGCTCAAAATATCCATCCATAAAAACTGTTAAATTGCAAATTCTGTCGATTTCGTGTTCTATTTTCAGTGAGCATTTGATGCAACAGCTACGTGTTGATTGTTGACGCATTTTTTTTATATTTTGTAAAATCTGCAACTCATTCGAACGATGTCGCTACAATTTTCTCCGTAGTTGTCCAAATAAACACGGTGCATTTGCCAGCCTTTATTTACGGACGAATTACCTAAATATAGTTACTAGAGAAATGCAGCACACCATTAATCATGTCTAAAATAACCATTTTTTTGTTCAAAATTATACTACAAACTTAATCACAAATGAGATAATTGCGTTTTCTACTTGTTCGTGTTTGAACTAGATGAGAATTTATATACACACTGGTGGAAAAATAATAATAAAACGGCATAACAAAGGCATTATCTTGTCACTTTTTGATAAACTACCGTGACGCGTCTTTTTTGAAAGTGCTTTTAAAATAAATTCCCTTTTCTTAGGTACATACAACGAGGCATCGTTCCTCAATTTCGGTGTTATATTGATGATTACTCCGGCGATAGAGATGACAAACGGAGCTGATTTGACCCCGGATCCCTTCCTCCGAGCTCTATCTATTTTTCATTATAGCGCCCCAAATCGAATTTTTATTCATTATTATACAAAAAACAAAGCTTCAATCTGGATTTATCCTTGACGAGAAACGCAATTGTAGTCAAGGCCGGATGTAATTATCGAGGTTATACCCTGCGACAGCTTGCCTGATTTCATTTTAAGTCCTTTTATTTAAATTTGGCAAATGTAACGTTTTATGACCGCTTTAGAAATTTTTTATTAATGATATGAAGTATGGCAACAAAAAAGGAACAAAATAATAATTTGCAACTGTAGCAAGATTAAAAAATGAACGTTCTTTTTTACGAGACTTAAGATATGGCATGAATTATATTAAATTATCCTTTATAGCCCTTTTCATGAGGAATATTAAAGCCAAAGTTGAGTCACTATGGGACAATTCGCATTGAAAAATTTACAAAAGACGTTACTTCGTTTTTCTGACACATTAATTAAATAAGAAGGTAATAAAAACAAGGCATAACGAGAATTAATATAATACCTATAAATTATACAAGGGACATTATGCGTAGAATGATGTATTGAGCTTTTACTCCTCTATAATGTTATTAAATTTCAATGCACAACTAATGATTGATTATGATTGTTGACCCGTCATAGTACACATTATTAACAAAAATAAATTAGTTGCATTTTGCAACGCTTTGGAGTAGACAAAGAGAAAAGTTTGACTATGAAAGTTAAATATTTTAATTAAGTTTGCTGTAAAATAGAAGCTTAGGACAAAGTTTAGTACAAAATGAGAGTTACAGTTTTCCAATAAATAATTTGAATTTTTTGGCGATTCAATTATTATTTTCTAAAATTTGAAGGTTGTAATCTCTTGAAATGGCAGAAATTTCTGACGAGTAAGTGAACAATTTTTATGTAAGCGTCAATGTTAAAGATATTGAGCGACTTTTGATATACTTTATCTACTAGTGAATAAAGCTAAAACTAGTTTCTTTAATGCACTTAAATGGAAGGTCTAATAGTTATTTATTATACAAGAGTATAAAGAAATTGTTTATCTACGAGTGAATAGTGGACTTTTTTCACGAGTGGATAAACAATCTTTATCGTCGTGTATAATATTTCGTTTTATTTTGTATTCACCTACCAGAATTTCTTGATCAAAGTGGAATATAAACAGTAGATAAAAATTACTTTATTTCACTAGACGATAAAAGACTACTTTATCTACTGAAATTGGTTAATAAAATATAAACAGTAGATAAAAATAACTTTATTTCACTAGACGATAAAAGACTACTCTACCTACTGAAATTAGTTGATAAAAGCACTCTTTAACATTGAGTACAAAATAAAAGGTATTTTTACAATGACTTTCGATATTACATAATTTATTAATTAGAGAGAATATCGGAAAATTTGTAATAAAAGAAAATTTATTTTATCGGTAGTTTTGATTAATAATTTTTTTAATTTTATCTAGGTGAAACAGCTATTTTGTGCACTTTTTCTAAATTTTTCCTATTATTATTTAAATCATCATCAATCATCAAATTTAAATCACTGTCCTTGGTGCTATTTATTTTTACATATCTGCTCCTTAATGAATACGATCGTTATCTGTTTAGTCATTTTCTGGGCTCAAAGTCGGTTAAAAATATTTACGGATTTTACTATGAAAACTTTTTGACGAAAATTTCACATTCTAAACCAATGTTAACTTTAAAGTCCCTTCAATTCTATTATAAAATTGGCCCTCAGTCTTTAAACTAAGAATGTGAACTCAAAATAACTTTAGACGAGTTAAGTATCTGTTTTCTTGTCACAGCTGCCTAAACTCAATGTTTTATAAGCAATTATTAGTGTATTTTTGCAGAAAAAATAGCGAGAATCTAAGTTTATCTATACGTTTAATTTATCGCCAGTATAAAATTATCCAATTTATCTCAGGAAATCTTTCCTCCGGAGGAGTAGATCACGCGTATGCAAGTTAATGGAAAACCCTTGTTGCTCCTCGATACTCATTTAGCGATACTTTGTTACCAATACTTTATTTATGTGGTTAACTTCACCAATGAAAGGCATAAATTCGTATTAAAACGGTTTAGTAATGGCGAGGATTGCGTTTTTTGGAGTCATCTGCTATAATAATTAAAGAAGTTTGGTGAGTTTCGGTCAATAAATTGAATGTGGGGCAGTGATATCGTACAATGAATGTCTGAAATGCCAGTCTTTCATCCTTGATGATGAGGGTCTTTCTATATGGCTGTTCAAACTGTAATAATTGATACAGCACCCTCCTATGATCAAACTTTCGACGAATTTTACGCGTAAATAGATTTATACGAGAAGCATGCGAAAGTTATGAGGCAGGTCGACATGAGCAAATATTTTAAAGATCTTGTCAGAAACTATGAAGCAAAAACTTGTTGAATCGCCGAAAGTTCGCTATTTCGTGAACGGAGAGAAAAGAATTCCGAAATTTATATTTATGAGATTTATCAGGTCTCTATTTATAGATTTTGGCAGGTGAACTTTGATGTTTGCGTACATATGTTTTGCTAAATTTCTAAATACGACCTTTCTTTGAATTTTTGGCAAACATATTTTTAATCTTGAAAAATTTTCTCCTACCAGAAAATCATATTTTAAGTCAGGTAATCTCAACACTCACAGTTACGTAAATTGTGAGTAAAAATGTGAGTAATTAAATATTTTTAACCTGTTTGGTAGGTATCGGCAATTATTGAGTAGGTGAAACATGAATCAGCCTTTTTCTTGAAATATAGCCAAAATTTGACCGTAATTTAGAAAATGCTTAAAGCGATAGAGGTTGTGATGAATGTATTGAGATCGGAACCTAATTTATAATGGAAGAAAAATGTTGTGGGTCATACGCAATACACGCTAGGTCAAGAATTTTTTTCGTAAATTGGTCTTATTTTTAAGATAGATGATTCAGATTGATTTTTTTTAGAAAGAAGACTTAAGGTCAAGAATTTTTTTTTAAATT